GCCTGCTCTGCATTTTACAGGCTTCATCTTAGATGTACTAAGAAAAAAATTATCTGAGCATCATTTTAAGAAATAGTTGTGGCCGTGTGGGCCTGAGGTGCTTGTTAACTGTGTTGTCTCCTCATCTGTAGGATACCTGTCTGCTCACCCCATGTGCTTTGCAACTTGTTTCTTGCTGTCCTTTTCCAGCAGTGAGTGCTTCCTCCTTCACTTGGTGTCTCTCATGACACCCTTTTCCACACCAGGCATCCAAATGCCTCTTCATGAGGCTCTTTTGCAGGGAGCTCTCTTCTCTGCAGTCTGATTTATCCTGATAATGCTACAAGAAATTAGAAGAGAAATAGTTGGTTGCAGTTCTGCATCCTTAAAATATTGGTTACATTAGCGTTCACCTACAGTGAGCATTATTTTCAGTGTGTTTTACCCCTTTGTCCTGCCATCCTTTCCTTTCTTCCGGACGTTTCAGAGGTTACCTAAATGGAAACGGTCACTTCCAGCCTTTGTGGATGGGAAGGGAAATCACTCACAGCACGTTACCCTTGCGCTGAACTGCCAGGGGCTGGTAACAGCCAGGCTGTCTCAAATCTTTAGCACATTCGTATTAAAAGCAGTGTTGTTTATATGGGAAATGTTATTTCTATTACAGTTTGGTGCTTAGTGCCAAACAAAATTTGACATTTAAGTATGTCCAAAAGGTAATTTAAAAGTCTCTTAGAAAGAAGCCTATAACAAAATGTCCCATAATAGTTTGCATGCCATTGCTGAACATTTATGACAAATTTTTCCTTAACTTGAAAGAGAATTACTGTGCCTGTGTGTGAGGCCTTGTCAGGGTTTGTTTTTCTTTAATATTCCTTCAACTTCTCTCTTATTTTCATCAACACATGCCACCAACTGATGTAAGTTTAACTGTGTCATGGTGTATGAAAAGTGGAGGACAAGTATGCAAACTGATGATCAGAATAATGGACAATTTTATTTTATTTTTTTGCAAGCTTAAGGGTATTATGAGGGCAACTACTATAGTGCTTCAACAAATTACAGTACTATCAAGTTATCGGGCAGAGATCCATCCCCCAAGTTATTTTATAACCTAACTCGAAAGCAGTGTTAAAAACAGGCCTGTTTCTTCATTCTCTTACTGGGATGTATTTTATATTTGTGGGTATCCCAAGCACTGCAATTGTAGACAGACAGTAGAACAACATGGTTATACCTTAAATAGTTTGTCAGTTCATTTCTCTGAATTAGAAAGTGGGTTGTATAATGCCAAAATACAGTAAAGGAGAAAGGGTTGTTAACTTACTCATTGGAGACTCATACATCTGTATGTGTGTAAGTGGCATTGCTCTACCCCTCGCACCAACAATGGCTGTTAAAAAACCCCAAGCTAGAAAGAGTAAATTCTACTCAAAAATATCCTTAGGATTTGAAGCTGTTTTAGAATTGCTTTAATGCAGATTTATGTTGCATCAGAGTTAAATCATTGTTGAATACTGTTGGGGTTTGGAGGGGGGGTGTTGTTTGGTTGGCCAATTTGGTTTTTCAACATATTATCTCTTAAACATGTAGTTAAAATATGGGAAATTCTTTATTTTGGGCTTCTTATGTGATCCGTGCATTACGAGTAGCTCCTGTAAATCTTGAAACACTTTAAAGTCCAGTTACACTAGTCATAGCAAGTTCTCCAATAGCAGTAAAAAAAAGTTGTTTTCTGTTCTTAATCCTAGAGAATTAAAGCAGATTCTCTTTCTTAACAGAGGAGGAGTTTATTGCTCAGATAAAATGAAGCTCTAGCAATAAATAAATAAATAAAATTTGTTGGGAGCGATTGGTGATCAGTATAGCTGCATATACATCAATGGCCCTTGCCATGTTAGCCCCATCCTATGTATTGACAGCTTACAGAGACAGGCTGCTAAGTTGTTTTTCACTTCTTGTGTTAGGCATTAACAGAGCGAAATCGAGGTAGAATGTATAATCTATGTTTATTTTACAGTTAAGGAAAGAAGTGTCTTGAGAACAGTGTTCTTGTGGATAAAGCTTTTAGCTTAGCTGAAAAATGTCTCTAGTATGTTTTGCATCACGCAGAAGAGAAGCTGCATGACTGATCAATAGTGTTTTTCATGTAGATGACAATGATGCTATACAATGGGGTTTTATAGCGATCACCTGACATCCATAGCTGAGCAGTATGTAGAAAGACAACTCCTAATGGACGTTTACTGGCTGTCACTCTGTAATCATTTCCCACCAAGAGTGCATTGTCCTGAAATATAATTGAAATAAAATAGGCACTGTGCTGCTGTAAATCTAAATAGCTTGAAAATAGTAGGCTAGACGACTCCAGCTTGCTGAGGACATTTTAATGGAAAAATAAATACCATAATCATATGCTTTTTGCATGCATTTTGCCATTAAAAAGAAAAAAATGTTCATTTTAGATGGGAGACCTTTATGAATTGGTTTCTTTTTTATCAGAAGTGGGATCAAGTTATGTCAAAGGAATATTTGGGATCTGAAAATAACCCCGCTTGCTTTAACTGTCATCTGTTCGGTGCAAAGAGGCAAGATGCTGTTTCTAAGGTCAGGCCACATACTTTGCTTACTGCATTTCCAAAAAAGAAACAGAGAACATTTTATTAAGATGTTAA